ATCAGTAATTATTATTGGTAAATACACGTGAATAGTAAAATGGAAAAAAATCGAATTAATTCATTGTAAGCTACATGCTTGAATTTTCGAATCTTTACTTTACCTACCCTTGAGGGGCTTATTATTAGCCTTCATCTGGGGAAAATTGCTAAGAATTTCCCCTGCATCTATCTATTTTGGGGTTTTTTCTTAAGCACTTGGAGAAGTACCCTACAGAATTGTCCTACTTCACTATGACGTCACATCAAAACAATCTTCAACAATCTATTGTTTAAACGCAAAGGATCATGGTCGTCGCACGGGGTCAAATCAACGCAAACTAACCGAAAATTGTTCTAAATCCCGTATCATTCCACGAAGAGAAGTAGAAAAGCCAGCAAACGCTCAGAATATTTTTTAGTACATATTAACACATATTGTATCTGAAAACCAGGCCATTTTAGATTAAACTGTTTCGCTAGGAGCAAATTTAGTTGAATTTTCTATTGGATTTGGCGATTCTATCCCCGACATAAACAAGCAGTGACGTCATAGTGAATTAGGTCAATTGAAGATCCAATTTACTACGATTGCGCATGCTCTTATGTCACTCACCTGTCACGTGATAGATGGAGTTGAACCCTATGCCAAAACGCCCGACCTTCAAAGGTTCCTCTTTCTTGTTGCTATCCATGAGGCTCTGCAATCCGTCCCAGTCTTCCTCTTTGAATAGAGCGTTGTTGAATGAGTAGAGTGCGGGGCCCTGGAACTTAGCAAGTTCTTCATTGTAAAGGGAGGATCTTCTGTAAGGATTGGCACGAGAGTCCAAGAGGAATGAGATGCTCGTCGCGGATGCATCGTCTGCATTCTGGATTATCTCCTTTGAAGAAAGTGTTTAAAAAATCAGATAAGATTACTGAAAATGAGATATATGAAATCCATTCACAATTTCTCATGGCAAAAAAAAGGGGATATCTTCGTTTTGGTTCAACTTCCGGGGGAAAATATTCATTTATAGCCATCTTTTTCTTTACTTAAGAGAAAAGAAAATAGGTATAGTACGCACCTTGAGTATTTGTCCTCCATCAGGGTATCTCTCCAATATACTCTTTATAACACTAGTCAGTGGAGGCACTCGCTGCCCATAAGACCTGCCTTTAATTTAAAGCAGTTAAGAGTTTATTTAAGATAAAATTTGACAATTAGAGGAAAGGGAAGCCTATGCTTTTGGAGGCAAGGCATTGCTTTTTGTAGGGAAGTCATTTCTTTTGGAGGGATGAATTCGAGGCCATCATGTTAGATTGCTGATTTCTTTTGTATGTTATAACATTTTGTAAATCACTTTTACCACCCACCACACCATGTGCAAAAAACTTTAACCGAGTGCTTTTATATCACATGCGCAAAATCTTCCATTTTCTCATTGCGACTTTGCGAAGTTTTGTTAGATGTCACTCAAGGCGTTTCCATGAAATTTCATCCACCAAGGGCACTAGGACACCGAATGTGGTTGGATTTCTATAGGTTTTTTTCCTATATATTTTCATATATATGGAACTTAAGGTGGATTTGATTAACCATATTAACTCTGGACGGTTGAATATTACTGACGTAAGGAGCATCGCGCGGTCGCGTTGTTGTTGGTATAGTACAAACAGAGTCAAGTACGGAACGGCCGTTAGAGAAGTAACGCTCATAGGCTATTCAAACCGTTTGACCTTTGGAATGAAAACGTCTGCATTACAACCGCGAACGAAGGAACACGGACACAAGATAAGTAAACAAGTATAACGTTAATTCAATTCAAATAATCGAAAGGAAAAAAAAACCTATAGAAATCCAACCACATTCGGTGTCCTAGTGCCCTTGTGTCCACTATGCAAAACCTTATTAATTTTGTTGCGTTATATCAGTAGTGTCGGTGATCAGGAACGTCGACACTTTTACCTTCAAACTCTCCTACCATGTAAAATTCTAAAAGGTCAGCTACTTATAAGGTGCCCGGCACACTATGTGGAATGCAATGAACCAGCAAACATGATTTTAAGCTTGTCCCCTCCTCCTCTCCCCCTCCCCTTCCTCGTTGTTTTAGGACGAATTGTTTCTACCTTTTATATTCGTTCACAGCAAGAAATAGCATTTCTGGAAACCATATTCTACTAAGAATTTCATTTGGGGCAAAACTTTCTAAGATTCCTGGATTCTGCTGCTTTTATGAGGTCTTTAATATTGTTTAACACTTCATTTATGTAAATCATTCAAGTTGCCGCGTATATGTTGGAAAACCTCTGACGTCATATCGTGCAGTAGCTGCATATATCGAGATTACCCTCCTTCTTCTCAGGCCCCGTCCACACTAAGCAGGATAAATTTGAATCCGCAACTTTCACACCGAAACCGAAAAAAAAGTTTTCCGTGCACACATGAAAACGGATAAAATGTTTCGCGTCCACACTTGTCCGATCAGAGGCGGCAAAAGCGCTTCATTTCACATCTGAGCATGTGCATCGAAGCCGAAATTGAGCCCGCGGTGAATTTCTAACCTTCCCGCCATGTTCCCATGACAATGCTGACGTCATCTTATTCGAAAAATTTCAGATACGAAATGTTCTCCGTCCACACTAATACGGCAAGTCGGCGTTTTCAAATTGTTCCACTCTGGAGACCGTGTTCGAAAAAATTCGTTTTCGGTGAAGAATTGTTCAGATTCGCCCGGACTAGTGTGGACGGTAGGCCTAACCGAATAAATAAAAATTCGGATTCAAATTTATCAGCATAGTGTGGACGGGGCCTCATACTTCTACTGTGTAAAATTCTACAAGTTCAACTATTCACAAGCTGCTACTACGCGTTAGGTTGAATGCCACGTCACGTCCAGCAACATCGTGAAAACTTCGTATCCCTGGAAATGATTCGTTCCTACGCTTCGCACTGATAACCATAAATCAATAAATGCCATAATATAGATATTGTTTTGCATAGTCTGAATAACTGACCTCAGAGGTCTCATAAGTTTTCCTGTTTCAAATAATACAAGTTTTTGAATAATTTACATGTAATACTGAAATTTTACATATGGTGCAAATTCATCTACATTTGTCGATATTATACATTACATCACCTTTTTGACAAATATTTTGTACAATCGAGAATTCTTAGTAACTATTATTATTACCTTCCACTCGCTTGCTCATTCTGCACGTCACAATCAGCGATTCTCTGTAATCTTTACATCTGTAAACAAAATTTGACCAAAAAATATAACTAATGAAAAATTATAGTTTACTCTTAGAGCTGACAAAATTGTCGATGTTAAAATCACTAAAACATTATGATATAAGTGTAAAGCACGAGTTTAGAGCGTATTTGCAAAGATTTTTAATTAAAGTAAGCTTTATCGGCTTCAAAAATCCTTTGAGATTTGTGGCTGGCAAGAAAACAATTAATAAAAATCTATAGTTATTATGAGCTTTTAAATAATATTCCTACCTTCGTCATTTCATTCGCACGCCTTGAAATCAGCTTATCTCAGCAAAGCACAAAGAAAGGTCTGCCTCAGCACATATGCTGTGGAAGCAGATTCCTAGAAAAAGCTCTCTTCCAGGAATATTTAGACAAAAGCCCAATCAAATCTTTCGTTATATATATAATCGATGACGCCACGGTTAGATTTTGTCAGTCAGGGCTTTCCCGGAATTACAGCGGATTAAAATATTCTGACATAATTTCTTGGTATTACAGTGCGACTACTCCAACCAAAGCCACCGACAAATTTTCTACTAATTAGCCAATCAAATATAGGAATCTGAACAATAGAATTGCTACAAATCGGACAAATATCCATGGGTTTACACGGCTTAGAAGACTGCCGGCACCTTTGTTGTCGAATATAAACGAGCTGTCGCATAGCAACATACGTAGTGATAAGATCTGACAGTGTCAGCCTGATAAAATCTTTGTTTGGAAGAAACAAACTGTAATCATTAAGACTGTGTTTTATACGGTCTCTAAAATATTTGCTTTCCTGTCGTAGAGTGCATTCAGTCAAACTGTTGAATAGTTAGATAATTGTACCTAACTTGGATAACTATTTGGTTGACGTCACCTAAAATAGTAAGAGAGCGCCAAATAACGGTCATGCTAATCCGGGGGGTAGTTTTACCAGAGAATGAGTGAATAGACATTCATTTGTATCGTTTCTTCCCCTTGATCTCAGTAGCTGTTTACTCGTAGTTTCAAATGTAGGTGACGTCACCTAAAATAGTAAATAACTTATCTAATTTAGTTGACGTCACTTATTCAACAGTGAGACTAAAAGCACTCTAATTGAAGTCGTACATTACTATTTTTCTATATATTTAGTGACACAAATCACTAATTTGCGAAGAAAATATATTACAAGCTCTTCTTCATCATTTAGTTTTACCAACCGGAACAACGGAAGAATATTTAAATTCAAATTTTGCCGCTAATCTATTGTCTGAATACTCAAACACTATTGGCTAATTTGTGGAAAATTTGTCGAGGTGGCTTTGGTTGGTGTGGTCTATTTGTGGTGAGTTTCTATTAAAAAAATAAAAATGAAAAGCAAGTTCCATAAATTGTCAATGACAAAATTTTCATCCTCCTTTTTCTCCCCATTCATTTGATGTGATTGATAATGAGAATTGAACTGAGTGAAATGTAATTTTGGTCTAAAATCAAACTTGTAGACCATTTTTCGAATTCCAAATTACCACTGTGTTTCTTGATTACAGACTCATTTGCTCAGGCTAAGCCTCGATTTTGTGAAGAATATTCATGTTTTCCAGTCAAGGTCCGTCAAGTTTCAAAGTGTTTGTATTGTTGAACTTGTGCATTCTTTACTTTACCGTTGGTATTTGCGAGTAATTAGACACTGATTCGAGGCTTAGCCTGAGCAAATGGGTCTGTAATCAAGAAACACAGCGGTAATTTGGAACTCGAAAAGGGTCTATTGCACTCCTGCGTTTCTCCGTATGTGGTTGGTCAAATGATGTTTTCGAAACAGTGCGATTTGAGAGCCAAACAGACTGCAGAAATCACCAGTGATTTCAAAATGAATATGATTGAATAAGCATATTGTTATTATCTAAGGAAATAAGAGTGGATTCAAATAATCAAATAGAGCTGGGATTCCACACGTTTTTCATTTTCCCTACCGTTTTGGAACACACGACTTTTCCCGCCGTTTTGGTCACGTAACTTTTCCATTTGGCTTGAATTTTTATGACAATGGAATGAAAAGTTAAGAATTTCAAAATGCTATTGCTTATGGTTTTTAAAATCGTTATTTTGTTTGCTCTTTTAGCGTTGCAATTTTCTGTTAGAATATGTTTTAATTCTCTGAGTCGCAGGTACTGTAGTTCAAACTCTGGCCCTTCTTTGACCGGTAGTAATATACTATCTTTACTAACAGGTAGTAATATGCTATCTTTACTTGCATACAGTCAGTACTTCAATTCAAGGCACTAGAGATGTCGCCCAAATGGTTTGCTTCATAATTTTGTAATTTTTATGCTTATGGTTGTTCTCGTGCTGACCAAACGCAAAGTTGGACTCGGTAAGTATTCGATATTGTTAGGTATTCAATTTGATTGTCGAGTATGCATTCCTAAAAAAAAAATTTTTGTTGAACATTTTAAAATAGTTCCTGCAGTTTAGCTTTTTTATATAGTGCGTATTATAGTCCTTTTTCAACATTCTCTTCCTAAGGCTCTGGGTTATCAAGACATGGATCTTCATCGCCTGTAGGGCTTGTAGCAGAAGTTTCTCTGATCGATACTGTGTCTGTGACATTAGATTTCCCAGGGTTCTCTCCCCCTTCTTTGGCATCTTCAGTCTGTTCATCTGTGGTCTGTCCTTCTTGTGTTTCTGGATCTGTATTCTTATCGAGGTCATCCTTTGTCTCTTCTACGCCTTGATCTGTTTTCTCGGGGCTGCTAGGAGAATCTTTTGCTACTTGTGTTTGGTTTGTTCCTGTAGATGTCTCTGAGCTCGCAGTGGGCTGTTTGGTCTCCGGTGTATCGCTATGGAGCGCAATTTCTTCGTCTATCTTTTGGTGAACTGTTTTGACCATAGAGAGAAGTTCATCCTGAGATAGAAGAACTAAATATTAGAATAAAAAATGGGCGTGACCGTATCTATCTACCGTGTCTGTCTGTCTGTCTGTCTGTCCGCCCATCCGTCCGTCCATCTGTCTACCTAATACTCAGAAAAAAACAATCAACACGTCTGTCTGTTTGTCTGTCCGTCCGTCCGTTCGTCTGTCTGTCTGTCTTTCGGTCTGTTTGTCCGTCCGTCTGTCTGTCCGTCTGACCGTCTGTCTGTCCACCTAATAATCAGGGAAAAAAAGGATCAACATAGCAATTTTTTGAAGAACCTTCCATCCAAGTAAATCCGCCAGTGCAACACATCCATCATCAGTATCTCCCAGCCACGCAACATCCCTGCAAAACACACAAAAACATAAGAAAACTATAAACCATAATTAAGGGATTTTTGATGGGTTTATAAGCGGGGGCCGATAACTCATATATTCTTGGGAAAGAGAAAGGAGTTTGGATTGACGAGAACTTGTAACCATGGCAACTTATAATCAGGTGCTCTTATAACGGGGAAGAGGCTTAGGACCGTAGGGGATAGAACAGGGATTTTTCCGATACGCACCTGTAATTGTGCTCTTCATCAAACGCAAAGCCACCAGTCCCCATCAAAATGCCCCACATATCTCCCTATATTAAAAAAATTTAAAAAATATCAAAATTAATCATCATTAGTCTTTAAGACAGTCAATAACGTTCCTTAATACGCGATATGCGTTTTCGCAATAATTTCAAAACTCAAGCACAATAACTTTCTTATTTTCCTCTTTCCTCCTTTTTTTTTTTTTTTTTTGTTAAATATGCTTTCATTCTTTTGTTTGGTTTTCTTTTTTTCATTTTGTTGTTGTTGTTGTTGAGAATTTGGACTGTCTTTCTTCCGTTTCATCTTTACTTCTTTTCGTATTTCCTTTCTTCCATTCCTTTCCACTGTTCGTGTCTCCCTCCGTCCCTTCCTTCCTGTTTTTTTCTCCCATTCCCTTTCACGATCCTTTACCCTATTAGCAGCCTTTTCTCTGTTGATAAGAAGCCTTGGTGTCGTCAGGGGAACCCTGCAGACAAAACACAAAACAACACGATTTAACCGCCGCACGGTTAGCTCACTTGGTAAGGGCGTCGGTCTGTTGTGCGGGGGTTCAAGCCATGGCCGGACCAGCAGTCAGTGTGTTAAAATAACTGCTAACGTTAACGGCGGTCCCGTCCCTAATAAACTAAATACGTTAAAAAGAGGACCACGTGTTTATCAGTTGAATTACTGTCGAGCGTCATCCTCTATATTTTATTTATTTATCACAGTAACAGATGCATCAGAATCAACTTTCCTGGAATTCCAGCAAGACTGAAAAATTTAGCCTCTACGATTACGATGTAATTATTTTTGTGTTCAAACTTTACCTGTCAATCAGCGAAGCAAATGGCTGCACTACCAAAGACGTACCCATGACTATCAGCATGTCACATTTATGTAAATCCTATCAAATATACAAAACAGTGTCACGCGGAGTTACGCGTTTTAGCAGTTCTGACATATAAGAGTTCATGTTGTCACGCCATGTTTACCCCTTGCATGGGTAGATTAGGTGGCCTTCCATGTTTGATGGGAAATGCGTTAAACGAAAGCCTTAGTGAAAGACGAAACAATGTAATGGTGATGATTGGTGGCCATCACATGAATTTTCAAAATGACCCAACCAACGCTGCCCCATACCTTTGGGATTTTAGCATCTGTCAACCATTGATAATGCATGGACCTTTTTGGTGATGATGATGATGATGGTGGTGGTGGAAGATGAATGTAGTGGTGAAAGATGATGGTGATGAAAGATGATTGCAGTGGTGGAATATGATGGGGATGATGGTGATGAAAGATGATTACAGTGGTGGAATATGATGGGGATGATGGTGATAATGGCGATGATGGAGATGAAAGATGATTGCAGTGGTGGAATATGATGGGGATGATGGTGATAATGGCGATGATGGAGATGAAAGATGATTGCAGTGGTGGAAGATGATGGTGATGATGGTGATGAAAGATGATTGCAGTGGTGGAAGATGATGGTGATGATGGTGATAATG